AATGTTGGCTTAAGCCCTTTTGGCTGAAGGGTGGGAAAAAGTGGCTTCTTCCCAGAGGACGGGAGGAGCACTTCTATCCCAGATAAGTAAGGAAAGGAGAGGGAGAGGGGTCCAGTGTGTGTTGATGACATAAGGCACCAAGTGCCCGGCTGTGGCTGCCATGAACTCCTCCCCTCTTTAGCCAGCAGTAGCCAGAAAGTCCATAGAGAAATTATGCTGAATGAACATGTTTCTTGATTTTCTCTGAAAAACCAAGAGAGGTATGTCTAATGTCAATGCTATGAAACTCTCTGGAACCAGAATTCTTTCAGTGTTGATACCAGGATGGTCTGTTGAATCCAGCCTCAGTTGTAATGTGACTCCGTATGAGAATGAGACGTTACTTGTACCGAATATGCAAGGATGGAAACTGCCTACCATACAGCAGGAGTCCAGGGACATGACCACTCTTTAGTAGGGAGTGAGGGACAGTGAGGGAAGGAAGTGAAGGAGGGACAATGGGAAGTCAGGTCTGTCCTTCAGTGTGGAGGTTTTACTTCTTAGGGTCCCATATATCCCTTGAGTCATTTAGGCTGTGAGTCCTCAACAGGTGCACTTTGGAAATATGTGGGGTCATTTTTGGTTGTCACAAAGGCCAGGGGTATCACTGATAATTTACCACACCGGGGCTACGGTACGGAGCGGGATCCTCAACCAGCATCGTTCCCTATCACAAACGCCCTGCTGAACATTCATGTAGGTGGAAAATCCTATTGAGGATCATCTAGACTAGACCGTAACTTGGCTTTACAAATAAAACACAACTACTCTTTTTGCATATTAATATACTTAAATTTCCCAGGATCACAACCAAATAAATCAAAAGATTTTCTTTTTTGAAATTTTACTAAGAATTGTATACCAATTTCAGAAAATCATGACTGGCAGCAGTCATGGTATTTGAGTTGCCAAGACAACACAACCGTATCAGTCTGCGTTTGCAACTCTCACCTTGAAGGTGATTCTATGTACAGGTGCAAGCATCTAGCTGCTTTATTATGTCTTTTATGTAGTTATGCCTGAGCATTTATATATTGAAATGTATTTGTATTTTTCCTTTATCATTTATATTAGGTTATTATACTTTGAAATTGTGTATGTGACTTATCTATGGGTTTCACTTCAGGATTATAAAAGGAATGCTATTAAATATTAATTATGCAAAGGGTTTTGGATCTGATAAGAGTTTAAAACTACTGGTCTTTGTCAAGGATCTAGGCTGTGCCTGCGGTTTTACATCATTTTATTTTTTGCTGCAACTGACACTCAAAAGGTGGTGGCGTAACTTTTTTTTTTTTTAGTTGCAAAATTGGGCTTAAGGTTATTTCCTCATTTAACTCTTAGTAACTTCTAAACAAAGGACTTTCTCTAAATTGAACTACTCAGAGTCTGGGCACCCTGGCTCACGCCTTTAATCCCAGCACTTTGGGAAACTGAGGCAGGAGGATCCCTTGACGCCAGGAGTTAGAGACCAGCCTGGGCAACACAGCAAGACAGCATCTCTAAAAAAACAAAAAAAGCCAGGCGTGATGGTGCACAGCTGCAGTCCCAGCTACTTGGGAGCCTGGCGTGGGAAGATCGCTTGAGCTCAGGAGTTCAAGGTTGTAGTGAGCTGTGATCACACCACTGTACTCCAGCCAGGGCGACAAAGTGAGACCCTATTAAAAAAAAAAAAAGTCTTGTAGCCTTACCTACTTCATCACTAGATTTCCTGGTTGCGGATAATAGCCAGAGCTTCCGCACAAAGGATAACTTAATTCACTTAACGTCCACCTCCGCTGTTTTATTTTTTTTGAGAAATGAAACAGCCTTAATCCAGTCCCAAACCTACTTTCTTCTCAACTGCCTAATATTTTCCTTTTCCCCTGCAGGATATGCACGAGTCTAAGAAAGCCTTTCAGATTTGTACCTTCCCTCTGAGACACCAAGCCATGCCTTTAAGTTACAACAGGTTAGTAAGTGTTGACCTTTATCTTTTCAAGAGAAGAGGCTTTGGTATCCTGCAACACTAGGAGGGACAGTTTTCATTAGTGGTTTTCAACCCGAGATGATTTTGCCCCCCAGGGGGCATTCAGCTACATCTGGAGCCATCTTTGGCTGTCGCTGCTGGGGGAAGGGAGTATGTGTGCCACCGGCACCCAGTGGGTGAAGGCCAGGGACGCCGCTTAACACTCTCCAATGCACAGCACACTTCCACGACAAAGAAGTCTGTGGCCCAAAATGTCAACAGTGGCAACGTTGAAAAATCCTGCTTCAGATCCTTAAAATATACCCTTCTGCGGGGTAAGAAACTACCAAGTCCTCCCACGTGGGTGCACATCCTGCTACAAAGGAGTGGCGGAGCTCTGCTTGCCAGAGGCCTGACAGCTGGGTGCGATCTCTTTCCAGCAAATGTTCTCCTGCCTTGAAAAGTGGGGCTCTATCCCTGGCAAAGCTGAAATTCGAGATTGGTTCCCCAGGTCACATAGACTTTAAAAATCTTTCTCATCATCAACAACAAAGTTTCTGATTATAAAAAAATTACTGCATAAAAAAGGTGAGCATTACAGAAATAGCACAGAAGTTAGAGCCCACAATCCCACTTCCCAGAGTTGCTTGCTAAAGTTTAGTGTGTTCCTTTAGGTTTTTCCTAGCCATACACCATCATTAAAGGGGGACAGTGTACTAACCGCGTGCCACTTTTCCTCCTCCATAATGTATCTTGCCCATCTATCCATGCCTAGCCATGTGGTACTCCACGGCACAGATGGCCATCTTAATCAAGTCCTTACCGACAGATGCGTGCGTAACTTCCAATGTTTTGTTATTACGAAGAACGTGGGACTGAGCAACCTTTTACTCTTTTGTTTGTGCACCTGTGAGGACTTCTGAGCAGTGTAAATGCTAAGTTCAAAGGGTATGTACATTACTGAAACGTATCTGTATTGTAAGTAAAGGGGTCTGCATTATTTGCATATTCATTAGCTAAGTCCTTGCAGCTACTAGACTGTAGAGAGAAGTGAAAGTCATCACATGAAAACATTCCCTAACGAGCTGGTTACTTATAAAATCAGTCCCTCCTTGCTTCCCAAGTATGTGAACCCTACGTATCTATCCTGCCCATTGTATTCTAGTCTTCTGTTAGTCTCTACTGTTACATTGTAGGCATATGGCAAATGAGAAAATAGAATGCAGAATAACTGCAATAATCACAAATCTCGCAAATGATGGTGGATTTGATGAAGTCGATAAAGAATGCTAGAAAACTGCTCAGATCGCAAGCGAAGCCACTGAGAAATGTGGATCTGGCAGACTGAGGCCACTTAACAATAAAAGGAAAGGTGATAAGGTGGTATTTATATCCACAACAGATATTCACAGAGATGGGTATCGAAAGATTGAGAAGCCCCTGGAAAACAGATGAAGTCCTCAAATATTTTTCACAAAAGTTTCCTCTATGATTACATTGCAAAAATCAAATGTGAAGGATATTGTAAGATACCAAATCACAGTTTCACTTGAAAAACAAACTTAATTTATTCTTTGTTCATTTTAAGCATATACATTTGGAATTATGAACATGCTTTTATAATTTTGTTCCATTTTTGTGATTAAAGCCCCAATTAGACTTCCCCGATCCCTCCATCCCCATGACATACTATGAAATTTTGGTCCCTGTTTTACGTGGATTCGCCTCAGGTGAGCTTTCTCTGGTGTCAACTCTCCTTGAGCTAAGCAGGTCCTCCTCTCAGAAGCCTAGGAGGAAGGCTGCGCTCAAGTCTGGAATGCGAAGGCAAAACATTTCCTGCAACTGTGTGGTCCTTGCAGGAGCTAAAGCACCCCATGTGACGACTGGGGCCCCTTTCTCTCACCCCGTTAAGAAGTCACGACACGAAAGGAGCCTGTGCTTGGTTTGCTTTCCATCACTGCCATCATTCCCAGCCGCCCGCCAGGGACCAGCCAACATGGGACAAAACCCCAGCTGCATGTTCTCAATATCCTCACAGGCTGGGCCTCACAATCTACTCTGGGACACCTGTCAGGTGTCATTCCTGGGACACTGAGAAAGGAAGCACACTGGCACAACACTCCTTGTGAACTGAGCTGTGAGACCTCTTGGCTCCTTAATCTCATGATGCAATTCAGTAGTTTTGAAGAGCATTTTCGAAGGCCATAGCCAGCTAAGACAAAACCATCATAAAATACATTTGCTTATAAGCCTGTAAACAATGTACACATATATGTATACACCCAACCTTCTATCTGGCAATTTTAAGATAAAAATATACTGCTTATAGATAGTCTAGAATGCCAAAGGTGAAAAGAGCTTAAACTTCACTTTATAGATGAAGAAACTGAAGCCCTAGGCCAAGGGTCGGCAAACATTTTCTTTAAGGGGCCAAACGGTAAATAGTTTACATTTTGTAGGTCCTATGGTCTGTGTTGCGACTACAACTCTGTCACTGTAGCACAAAAGCAGCCACAGACAACACATAAATAAGTGTGGTTATGTTCTGATAAAACTTTATTTATGAACATCGAAATTTGAGTTTTACATTATTTTTCACATGCTACAAAAATGCCGTTCTTCTTTTGGTTTTTTTTTCCCCAACCATTAAAAAATGTAAATCATTCTTAGCAGGCTACACAAAACAGGTGGTAGCTGGGATTTTGCCCTCGGGCCACAGTTTGCCGACACCTGTCCTAGGCCGCCCTCACACCCCCCTGTCTGATACAGACCCTGCCATGTGATACCTTGTTGATTTGCTCTTTGCTTTACCCATTCACATCACAGACCCAGATTCTCTTCACCATAAAATGTACAGCTAAGGAGCATATCAACGTTTTCTAAATTTTAAGAATAGTATTAAGATCTGTCAGAAACATGCCAGGCCACAATTGAAAGAACACCGATATGATGCCATATTGCACATTAAATAAAAACAATCAAGAGAAAAACATAACAGATTTGAGAAACTGATTTTCAAAAATAGGCTTTATTTTAACCAGTGGTATTGTCTGACATCCTATATGGCATACCCGATTACAGCCAAGTTCATGAATACAAATAAAATAGCACTTTCCCTCATTCTCTCCTTTGTTTTCTGTTCAGAGAAATCAGGAGATGGGAGCATTATGCTCAGAAACCAAAGAGCTCTTCCGAGAGCTCCAGCTTAGAGTCCAGGCTCCTGGAGCATGCAGCCTCCTAACACGTATGTGGTCACATGTGCAAAGATCTTTATTAAAAAATATTCAGAGCAGTATTTCTATAGGAAATCACACTAGCATTTACGACCAAACATAGCTGATAAAATTCATCTTGCTGTGGATGGGGAGGATTTGAAGTGCATATAAAGGAGATGAGGCCTTTACGTTCGCTTTCCTTGAAAGAGGGGAGAATCCCGGGGAGGTGGGACCACCATCGCCTGCCTCCTTCCTTTCGCTCCAGCTGATTCAGGGGTCTACCCTGGCCTTCTGGAGTGCGTGCGGCACTGCGCTGACAGAGAAATGGAAACACACTGGCCCAGATACATGATTTTGTCACACGGCCAACACTGGAAGTGGCTTTACACTTTCTTATTACACAAAAGACTTAAATATGTGGGCCCTCATGTAGCACAAAATGCCTAAAATTCAGAAAATTATGAAAACAACTCTTCTCCACCCCTGAGGATATTTCATCTTTACAAAGTTGAAAATACAAAATATTAAAATAATTTGCCCTTTCTCCCCATCAAAAGGAATCACATTCTCAAAGGATTCCTACGCTATATAAAATTCTGAAACAAAACTTATTTCTCCCCAAACCAAGCCCTAAAAGTCAATGTTAAGCTGCCAAGAAGACCCTTTTCCATAGAGGAGTGGAAAAGACACCTTATTACTATTTTTTTTTTTAAAACTACATTTAGAGAAAGATAGCAAAAGGAGTTTCTGGCCTCATGATGTTTATTTTTCACTTTTATTTTCAGCATTTCTTGGCATTGGTTAGTGGGAGAAAAGAGAACAACTTGTTTTCCAAAGTTTGGGATATTCTTGGGGAAAGTCCTGATCTTTCCCACGTTAGCTCCCCCAAAATAGTTTGTTGAAAGATGGCAAGAACGAAAATGCTATACATCCATCTGTTCCATTTTTTCACGGTTTTCACATCCAAAGCACCTGGAGTATCAATTGTGTTCAACACAAAATAGCACTGGGGGCTGAAGAGAGGATGACGTCACTTGCCCAAACATCCGCTGACATGACACAGGATCTGAACTATCCAAGAAGTCTTCACGGGCAAACCTGCCTGGCACCAGGGCCTCCCGAAGAGAACAGGACAAGCAGCTGTGCATGCTCAAATAGCAAGACGTGCAGAACACATCCCCACTCTGCTAGAAACAAAGAGCACACAGGAAGTACACTGACAGCGAGAACCTGGCTCTGACTACTGGGGCCAATACTCACAAAACCTCTGCACTGAAGGTGAGGGCTAAGCAGAGAAATGGCAACAACACCTGGAGGTGAGGGGGAGAGAGAGAGACACACACACACGCACGCACACGCACACATGCACACACGGCTGCCTCCTCCAAAGGCCGCCTGGCTACCTCAGGCCTACAGCAGCCGTCCGACAGCCCTGTCTACTTGCCCGGCTCAGAACTTCAGCAGCGGCAGTCTTTTAACTAGCTACACTGTCTTCTCTCCTTTTAAGGCACAAACATATTTACAGTTTCAAATACACCTGTTGAGTTCCGAGAACCATACTAAGCAAGTTAACAGAGGCCAGTTGGTCCGTTTTGGCTGCACGCATCGCTGAGGGATGGCTTCGCGTCTGAAGCAACCAGAAAACTTGAGCCTCTTCGCGGTGCCACTGTGGACGTGGTCAAGTCTACCATCAAGGTGGGGCCACGGGAGAAGCCAAAGTGGCAAAAGCATGACTGCGATAGGGATAATTAATATTTTTGTACTTTGCATTTAACATTTTCCTAACAAGATGGCAGTTCTTGTCTGCCCGAGCTGACTCTCAGAATGAAGAAGAAGTGGAGGCTTGCCATGGAGCATCTGTAATTCCATGTGAAGTCACTGTGATCATAGTTTACTCATATTACCCTCTCACCTTCCCACAAAGACAGACACATACATGTACACACACACACACCCCTTCCACCATGGAGGAAGTCTTCGCAACAAGAGGCACTTGAATGATATTTGGAGAGTTCCCAGGAAAAGGCCTTCCCCTCACAGTGAAGTGGGATCAACAGAACAGAAACCAGGTGCTCAGGACTCCATCTCTTCTTGGTCAAGGGGTGGCGGCACAAAGCTGATGACTTCATCGTAGGTCAGGCCTAGAAATTGGGAAGGAAAGGTAGGATGTGAGAGTTCAGACGATTCTCTTTGCTGGCAAGTACTCTGACTTCTAAGCTCGAGAACCTTCCTGTCTGTCCGGGATAGTGCTATGTGGGCTACTTCAAATAACTGCCTCACTGCTTGTGTGTGATATCCTAATGAACACATGTGATTACACAGAAGTTCAAGGATACACACAAAAATCAAAAAATATTTTTTCTCACTTCTTTCATTGCTGAGTGCCTCCTCTTTAAAGCCCTCTGGAGAGGGTGCTCAAGAATAACAGAGCACTCTTGCTTCCCAACTTCAACACGTAGTCTTTTTGGACTTGACTGGAGTTCTGGACTTGTGTTTCACGCAAAGAATATGATGAGACTGGACACAGGAGACGTGGTTCCATTCCTGGCTGTGTCCCTAACTAGGCGTAAGGTAATAGATAAGATACAAACTTTCTTTACCCCGGTTCTATCAATTGTAAAACTGTAAAAATGCCCTAATTCCCTACTTGTCTCAGAGAGATGCTGTGAATGCAAAGACTCTGAGAACCTCAAAGCTCCATGCACATTTGTGAGGGGCTGTGTGCGAAATCAGACCAGGCATAAGCATCGCCAAGGCCCAGAAAGGGTATAATCTACAACAGATAGTTTCTATCAGGGGAACATATTCATTCTGCATTAGAGACCACAACTACAAGTTTTAGCAAGTTACAACCACTGAGTTTTTATTTTTCCCACAGCTTTTGGTTAGTGGTTCACCTAGGCAAGATTTTAAAATCTAAGTTCTCAAGACAGACGTTAATTGACCTCAGGACTTACTTTTCCACTCATCTATGAGAAGGTCCCTGCTTTCAAAGGACTGATCATAAGGGTCGGCCACTGGCTCATCATCAGGGTCATGGTACTGAGCAAAGTAGGCGTGTGCAAGGGCTTGGGCTGCTGTAATTCTCTTATCTGAGTCCAACACAAGCATCTTCTCCAGCAAGTCGACGGCTATCGGTATTACACAGCCAAAGGGAAGAAGGAGAGTTTTTTTAACATGTTACAAAAAATTAAGCCTTATCAAGAAAACACAGTTTTAACCCTTCGTACCCAAAGAATTCTCCTCCAAAATATCTACTCTAGGATATGTTATCTTTTCTCCTTTATATGTATGTGTGTATATATATTTTGTATATTTTAAGAATACATTACTAAAAAGAATTTAAGGAATAACTGGGATTCTGTTAGAACAAGCTTTTATGGAATATCAATGTCAAACTGCTAGCAGTGTAGTCAAACTGTACTGAAGCAAAAGCTTACAGAGAAAGCAATCTAGAAGGGGTATGTAGGGCTGGTTTTTTGCTCTGGGTTTTTTTTTGTCCCCCTTCACTGTTTATTTACTAACACATGGCAAATAAGTATTCAACAAACAGATCTCTAAATAATGAACAAATTCAGGGTTTTGCATGGGGATGAGGGTAAGACATAGTATTTGAAAGAAAGGAATTTTTAAATTTTTCACTATGAAAAATTTCAAATATACAGAAACAAAAAAGTAAAAACAATACTAAAGTGAACACTCATATACCCGCCATGCAGATTCAACATTTTATATTTCTTTATATGTACTTTTTCTGAATAATTTTAAAATAAAATTATAAACATGACACTTATCTCCCCAAATTATTTCAGCGCAAAGACATCTTCCTACATAATCATAATACTGTTACCATATCTGACAAATAATTTCCAAATACCATCTAAAATACAGTTCATGTTAAAATTTCTCCAATTATTCCAAAGTTGTCTTCTAGAGCTGGTTTGTTCAAATCAGGATTCAATTACGGGCCTTGCATTGATCGGGTTTCTTTTGTCTCTCTTAATCTAGCATAACCTCTAATCCCTGTTATTTCCTGGTTTTGACCTGAAAAGAGCCTCCAGTTGTCTTGAGAATACCCATCATATCTGTCTGATGCTTCTTTGTGCTATTATGTATGTACTACCTTGCTTTCCTCCATCCTCTGTGCTTCCCGTAAAACAGAAGTTAGATCTACAACTTTCGTAAGAATCAGGTTAAACATTTTTGGCAAAAATATTTCATAGGTAATACTGTGTACTTGTTAGTGCATTAAGGCCGTTTGTTCCACTATTGACGATGCTAAATTTGATCACTGGGCTGTTTCCTCTTTGCCCCGAGCCAGTTATCTGTGGGATATTTTGGCACCAAGTGAATACCAATTCTTCTGACTTACGGCTTTTTGCATCCATTGATTTTCTTTCCCAAAAGCAATTATTTCATTAGGGGTTATAAAACGGTGATTTTTCTAATTCTATCTTTCAAATGAGGATGTTTTGGGTTGTCAGCATGGTAAAGTTTGGGAAGTTTGCCATGAACTGTGCCATGACCACAGTTATTACCACTGTGGCGAAATAGAAAGGCTTTTGAGACTGCCAATTCTTTCTTAAAGGTGCAGGGGTGGGGGGCGCGTAGCGAAGAGGACAGCTTCCTGAAGAGATCTACTGCTGTGTACACTGGAGGCTGTAAAAAAATATCCTGTCCTGCAGCCTGACTTCCAAAGTGATCCACAGGAGAAATACAGGTTTCATGGGGACACAGAAACAAAATGACTATTCAACTTCATAAGTTTACACTTTAAAGCAGTGGTCCCCAACATTTTTGGCACCAAGAACTGGATTCATGGAAGACAATTTTTCCACGGACGGGGGTGGGGTGGAGTGTGGGTAGAGGAAAGAAAGTTGGCGTTCAGGTGGTGATGTGAGCAATGGGGAGCAGCGGTAAATACAGACGAAGCTTCCCGCGCTTGCTTGCTGCTCACCTCCTGCTGTGAGGTCCAGTTCCTAAGTTTCATGGAAGACAATTTTCCCACGGGATGGGGTTGGGGGTGGGGGAGCAAAGCTCAGGCTGTCATGCATGGCCAGGTTCCTAGCAGGTCACAGACTGCTGCCAGGCCGCAGCCCAGGGGTTGGGGACCGCAGCTTTAAAGTATAGTATCGGGAGAACTGCCTGGATATATATTCCTCTGATGGTCTTCTCTTCTTAGAAAATGAAATCTTATCAGCTCTTGGTTTTATAATAGAACATGGATTATATAAGCCTTTGCCGCCCCTAGGGTAAAAATTACCATGTCCTCATAACCAATAACTTGATGAGGAATAAGGTCAGGGGTGAGAAAAAGATTCCTTAAAGATCTTGGCCGATATAAATATATACACTAACATAAGAGGGTAATTTTAGTTTTAATTCATGTTCTGGGAATAGCAGTGAAGCAAAGTTAGTGACTGACAAAACAGAGCTGTTAATATTTATATTGCTGGTGTACTCCTGCTCAATTAGTACGCTGAGCACAAGCTCATGATCAGCAATGCTGTTTCTGTCTGCCAAGCAACAGGAGAGTCTTTTTTATATGACATTGTTTGGCAACAGGCTGTTGGCCACGTTTAAGCTCTGAGAAGCATAGTGTTGAACATCAGATGGACCAAAGCCTCCATTCAACTCCTCAGCAGTCTCTATTGCTAAGTGGTATCTAGTTTTTTAGAATGTTTATATGTCATGATTGCAGAGAATGGAGATACCTATCAGGAAGTATGCAGCCCAAATAAGCTGCTGGGACACACACATCTCCCCTCCCTCAAGAAAAATTAATTAACAAATCTTTTTGTGTCTCTTAACGGGAGTCAAACACTGCCATGTCTAAAACTTAGGGCTGATAAGAAGAAGAAAATTCAGAACAGAATGGCAGACAATAAAGCTACCAGTATACAACATTATTTTCCCAACATCCTGTAATACTTAAGGTTCAAAGAGAGCTTCTCACAGATCCTTGAACTACATAATACAGCTCAAATAAATCATAGAAAGCCAATGAGAGCACGCCAGGGAAGCACAAACCTAATACCAGTAGAATCCTACATACCCCTGATGAGTTTGTGGATTCATCCTTGGACGTGAGAGAGACCCTGCTGAGATCGGACGTGAACTCAACCGCAACTGCCGGCACTTCAAAGAGCACGAGCACCTCTGCTCTTGTAAGAATTAGCACGCGGCAACACCGAAACTCCTCTCACAAGCACTATGGACGAAGAACTTAAAAAGGCAAAACCACCCAGCCTTCACCCCAGCTTCTGAAGAGGTCACCGTGGCTGTCAGCCCTCAAAAGGGCAAAACTACACCTGACGCATAGATGCTGGGACTCGTACGTAAGCAGAGAGATGACCCACACAGATTAAAAGAAATGCAGCGAGATTTTAAAACATGCTACTATAACACAGTCTTCAAAACAGTGAGAAGGCTGATTATACCAGTTATCGTAGCATCCCTCCCTTCCTGACCGCAGGGAGGTCCTGGTCTGAACCTTCCGTGTCTGCTGTTCAAAGCACCGTCCACTGCATCCTCCCAGAGTCAGGAATCAGAGCCCCGGGCAAAGCAGCTTCAGGGCCATCCGAAGCACACGTCGGCCCCCAGCTTTCAAGAATAAAGCAACTACTTTTTAGTCAAGGCAATACATATCCTCAGCTGCCACTGTCACTTCCCTTTGTCAAGGATCCTGAAGGTGACGGTGGCAGGAAGGAAGACAGTGCCATTCCTTACAGTCTGAGGTAGCAAATTTGCTCAGCGAAGAAGAGAGGATGGTTAAGCCTTTGAGAGGCAGAGGAAGAACGGGGGAGGGGGAAGTATGGGAGTGCGTAGGACTCACTGGGCAGCGACAGGCAGAGCAGAGCACACTGCAGGGAGCTCTGGGCGGGTCCTCTGAACACCCATCTGTCCTTCGGTTGTTTTTACCCTCAGCTTGGGACACCATAAATCAGCGGCAGCTGTGAATAAGTCACAGGCTTTCTTGTGAACCTTCTTCTCCCTGCCTCTCCAATCCTTCCTCCCAACATTCTCATTACTCTCTCTCCTTTCTTCACGGGACCAGTCCACTTCCCCCATGAAATTCTGTGATCATATAAATACATAAGCATGTCATGTGATTTTTTAAAAATCTGACAATACAAACACAGATAATAAATGCCATATTTATCACCTTCCAAGATTTAATTAATGATACCCTATTTGGTCAAAAGGAAAACTCTTCTTAAAATCTCTAATTTATGTTATAATCAATTCAATATCCACAAGATGAAGATATGGTCAACTTACCCAAAGGATTGGCACCAATAAATACATTCGCAAAGTTCATCTTCGGCATCTGGGTCAAAGACTGAATATAGTTTCTTGC